ACGCCACAGTTGTTCCGGCGACATACTCAGCCTTGCATGATGACAACAAGGTGATCTTCTGTTTCTAAGATTGCCATGCAATGGGGCTCTCTCCCAGAAAGAACAAAGTGTCGGTGGTGCTCTTTCGGTCATTGATGTCACCGGCAAGGTTGGAGTCTCTGTAGCCGATGAGTTGCAGACCGAAGCGGTTGTGCTTGCAGACGAGACCATGGGTACACATCCTCAACATGTACCACATTCGGTGCTTGATAGCATTGAAATGTTCGACTGCCGGCTTTTCCATGAACCGGCTGACATAGCCCACATCAGGTGCTTCACGGAGAATTATTTTGAAATTAATAAAAAAATATTGAAAGAAGAATCATCAGGAAGGGCCCTACTTGTGAACCACAAGCTCAGGTGCCCCCCGGGGGCGTGCCATGTGAGCTTGTGGGCCCGCCAGCAGTCCTTCGTGACACATCTCCTATACGATGCCATTTTCCCTAGAAAAAAAATCTGAAGAAGGCTTTCGGCACGAAGCGCCACTGTCTCGAGGCGGAATCTGGGCAGGATTAATTTTGCTCCCTGGCGGAGCGATTCTGCCGGAGATACTTCCCTCCCGAAGGGGAAAATCGAAGTCATCGACATCATCAACGTTTCCTCCGTCGTGGGAGGACCAATCTTCACCAACATCTTCACCAACACCATCTCCTCTCAAACCCCAATTAATCTCTTGTATTCAATTTTTCTTTGAAAACCTCATATTGGTACCTGTAGGTTGCTAGTAGTGTTGATAACATCTTGTAGTTGATGCTATTTGGTTTATTTGGTGAAAGATTATATGTTTAGATCCTTAATCATATACAATACTCCTCTGTTATTGAACATTAATATGATTTGTTAATAATTATTATTTTTTCTTGAGGATATGAGAGAAGTCTTGTTATAAGTAGTCATGTGAAGTTGGTATTCGTTCAATATTTTCATGATATATATGTTGTTCTTCCTTTAGTGATGTCATGTGAACGTCGATTACATGCCACTTCATTGTATTTGGGCATAAAGGAAAACATTGAGGAGTAATAAGTAGATGATGGGTTGCCAGAATGATAAAAGTTTAAACCCTGGTTTATAAGTTATTTCGTAAGGGACAGATTTGAATCCACATGTTTCATATTATGGTGGCTGCTCCCTCTAACCAACTATTCATATAGATTGATCCTATGTAAGTTAGACATGACTATGCCATCCTACTCTTCTCTATACGTACATATAGAATTTAGAGTCGGCACCATACTCAGAGCTGAACCATAGGCAACTCTCAATATATATGTATAGACCTATCACTGGTTGGTCAGGCAGTGGGTTTGTGTGTTACAGACTCCAGTTTCTCTTATTCTCAGAACTTATTTCAAGCTGACCAAAACTTACATCTTGAAGCAGCCGTGACATCTTGAAACGGCCGTGCGCCAAAAGCAACACCATTACGTCTCTTCATCCACGATGTGTCCCAGGCTAGGCAAATCCGGCGCGACGCCTTGTCAACACTGTCTTTTTCCTGGCGCACCCCAACTTCGACACTACTGCAACGATGACTAACTTGACGCCTCCTTGCGCCCACGGCTCCATGGCGACTTTCTCGACACTGGCTACCTCGACTCGACATCAACCACCGCATTCTTCGCAAGGCTGCCTCGACCACGGCTACACCACCTACGCTCCCGGCTACATCGACAAACGGCACAAGGGCTACCGCCACAACTTCGGCGATGCATTGACTGTTACGACTGTGTCAGTCGGCATACCTTCGAATTCTTCTCCAGTCTCACCGTTTACGTCGCTACCGTTGTGACTGCGGGGGGTGTTGAGTATGTTGATTGTTAGGAAGTATAGGATAGACTAGGATTTGGTCTTGACTTGTCTTATATACTTCAAGTTGGTCATTGTACTCCTATATATATATATATATATATATATATATATATATATATATATATATATAAATGCCAATGAGGCTCAAAGCAATAAAATCAACTATTCCACCAATCCTCTCTCTTCTAACATAATGGCCGGCCAGCAGGCGGAAAAAGTAGAGCGCAGATGCTGGGTCCGCGTGCAGATGGTGGATGCGAGTGCAGTGGGTCCGGGTTGGGCAGGGAAACGTTGATACGCCCACTCCCCCTCTCTCCCGGAGCCGCCGCTGCACCTGCATAGCGCCACAGTCGCCGTCCGAGCACGCTGCCGCCGGTTGCGCTGAGCCGCATTGACACCGTCCAAAGAGAGGATGATGCGGCTACGTCGCTAACACCCCGCGTCGCCACCGTCCGAAGCGTGCACGGAGGTGACGGCGCGTCGTCGAGCGAGCCGCGTGGGTGGGAGAAGCGCCGTCGAGGGAGTTGGGCCGTGGAAGCACCGCCTGGCGCCGGCCGCGCCGTTGTTGAAGCCGCCGGGCAAGGTGAGCTGCTCTTGTCGACCTCAGTGGCTCAGTCTGCACAAGCCCAACGGTGAGTCTCTCAGATCTGAGAATCTGACTCGTCCATCCTTGCCTTTTCTCGTCTTCTTTTTCTCAATACAGAGTACTCACAGGTCATAGTCGGGCATGGTTTCTCGAGTCTGCCAAGCTAATGGGAGATGCTAGCTAGCTAGGTGATCAAGCATTGACCGTCCCAAGCCATCTATTCTTGCCGATCCAAGTCTGGCCAAACTATCCCTTATCTTCAAGGGGGGCAGAAGCAAGAAGCAATGGCGCAGTCGGCTGTGAGCACCGTGCTTGGGAGCGTGGGCAATCTTGCAGTCCAGGAGACCACATTCTTGTGTGCAGTCAACCTTGAAGTGGGGTTGTTGAAAGATGAATTGATGAGGTTGAAGGCCTACCTCAAAGACGTGGACAGCAAGTGGAGATCAGGAAATGCAAGAGTTGCGGTCCTGGTGAGCCAGATTAGGACGGCAGCTTATGAAGCTCAGAATGTCGTCGAAGCTGCAGACTACATGGAGAAGAGAAACAGGCTCAAGAAGGGATTCATGGGTGCTATTTCAAGGTATGCTCGCCTACCGACTGACTTGGTCACCCTTCGTAAAATCGGTGTTGAAATTCAACAAGTAAGGAAGCTCAAGGAGATTTTTTCAAGTGCGCAAGATCTGAATATTATTTTTGATAATAATGTTTTTGTTGAGGATGAGTCTCCACAAGATGATGGTCCTATACATCAAAACTTTGAAGATGATGTTGTCATGGTTGGTTTTGAGGATGAGCACAAAGACATAGTGGACAAGTTAGTTGACAATGATTATCTGCTTAGTGTTGTGTCTATAGTTGCCATGGGCGGGGCAGGAAAAACAACACTTGCTAGAAAAGTCTACACTTCATCTAGAGTCAAAGAGCACTTTGACACACTTGCTTGGGTGACTATATCTCAAAAGTTTAAGGGCATTGATTTGCTAAAGGATATCATGAAACAAATAACAGGGCACAAAGATGAGTCAGTTAACCAAATGACGGAGTATGAGGTGGGAAGGAAGATCAATGAATTTCTTTCAGAAAAGAAATTCTTGGTTGTTCTCGATGATGTGTGGGAAACAGATACATGGGAGCAGTTAAACAGAATGATTACAGCCTTTCCAGATGCAACTAATGGTAGTAGAGTACTGTTAACCACACGAAAGGAAGATGTTGCCAGTCATGTTCAGATGCCAGAGCTAATGCGAGGTGCTAGCTAGCTAAGCTAGGTGATCAAGCATTGGGTTTGAGCTTTCTTACTGATGTCTGACCAAACTATTGCCGATCTCTGAAGGTGGCAGAAGCAAAAGAACAATATGGCAGAGTCCGCTGTGAGCACCGTGCTTGGCAGCATGGGCAATCTTGCAGTCCAGGAGACTACCTTTTTGTGTGGAGTGACTCTCGAAGTGGGGTTCTTGAAAGATGAGCTGATGCGGTTGCAGGCCTATCTCGAAGACGTTGACAGCAAATGGAGATCAGGAAATGCAAGGGTTAATGTCCTGGTGAGCCAGATTAGGACTGCAGCTTATGAAGCTCAGAATGTCATTGAGGCTGCAGATTACATGCACAGGAGAAACAGGCTCAAGAAGGGGTTCGTGGGTGCTCTTTCAAGGTATGCTCGCCTACCAACTGACTTGGCCACCCTTCATCAAATCGGTGTTGAAATTCAACGTGTAAAAAGGAAGCTCAAGGAGATTTTTGCATGTGCACAAAATCTGAATATTAATCTGGATAACAATGTTTTTGTGAAGGACGATTTTTCACAAGATGATGGTCCTATGCATCAAAGCTTCGAAAATGATGTTGTCATGGTTTGTTTTGTGGATGAGCGCAAAGAAATTGTTGACAAGTTAGTTAACAATGATTCTGTGCTTAGTATTGTCTCCATAGTTGCCATGGGCGGGGCTGAAAAAACAACACTTGCTACAGAAGTCTACACTTCATCTAGAGTCCATGAGCACTTTGACACACTTGCTTGGGTGACTGTATCTCAAAAGTTTAAGGGCATTGATTTGCTGAAGGATATCATGAAACAAATAACAGGGCACAAAGATGAGTCAGTTAACCAAATGACGGAGTATGAGGTGGGAAGGAAGATCAATGAATTTCTTTCAGGAAAGAAATACTTGGTTGTTCTCGATGATGTTTGGGAAACAGATACATGGGAGCAATTAAACAGAATAATTACAGTCTTTCCAGATGCAACTAATGGTAGTAGAGTACTGTTAACCACACAAAAAGAAGATGTTGCAAACCATATTCAAATGCCAACCTATGTTCATCCTTTGAAGAAATTAGATGAAGAGAAAAGTTGGCAACTTTTTAGTTGGAAAGCTTTACCAACATACAAAAGGTCTGTCATACGTGATATGCACGAGTTTGAAAAGCTTGGGAGAAACCTTGCAAAGAAATGTGATGCATTGCCACTTGCACTTGGAATTTTTTGGGAGGTTATCTGTCTAAAAATCTAAATGCACAAATATGGTCTATACTCTCAGATTGGCCAGCAACCAAGGATGGACAAATGATGAGTGCCATACTGGCACGCAGTTACAAGGACCTACCAAATCATCATTTGAGATCTTGTTTACTTTATTTTGCTGCTTTTCCTGAGGATTATGAAATATATGTGCCGGAGCTTATTGAATTGTGGATAGCAGAAAGTTTCATTCCACATACACCAAACCATACACTAGAAGAAACAACACGGAGCTATGTAACCGAGTTGGCTCAGAGAAGCTTGGTCCAAGTTGTTTGCAGAAGTACGGCACATGGATGGATAGAGAGCATAAGGATTCACGACATCTTACATGGCTGGTGCATAGAAGAAGCAAGACAAGATCGTTTTCTATATGCCATCGACAAACCTGCAGGTTGGGTTTCGTCTCATGATCTCTGCTTCCAATTAATTGATTTCATTTTTTGTTTTGCTATATGTATTTATAGTATGTGGCTAGCTTCTTTCTGACATATTGTGCACTCTAAAAAATATTGCAGGCCAAGCTGGTGCATCATCATCATCATCTGATAACTTGATATCTTACCGTTTTAGTTTTCAAACTTTGAGTGATCAGATTTTACCTGTGAAACCTAATATCCGAAGTCTTCTTGGCTTCGAGCTTGAATCAGTGTCCCTTCCTAAGCTGAGATTCCTGAGAGTTCTTTGCATTGAAAATTCAACACTAAAAGATTTCTCCAGTGTAATTGCTGGGTGTATTCACCTAAGATTGCTTAGGTTGGCAAATTGTGGACGTGTGGTGCTCCCTTCTTCAATTGGAAAACTCCTTTACTTGCAGACTATTGAACTAAGGAACAGTGCATTGGACTCACAGTCACAAGTACAAAACTCTCTCTGGGATATCCCTACTCTAAGGCATGTTTACCTTGGCAATGCCTTTTTTTCTCCACCGCCACTTGCAAGGAGTGTGCGACTACAAAACAATGAGCTCCAGACCTTCGAGTATATTGGTGAGGCTGGCACTGATTTGCGCTGTCATGACATGGTGATTTTCTTGGGCCAGATGAATCAACTAACAACCTTCGCCTTGAGGATGCGCCCCAATATACCAGCGGAGGTGCTCAACATATTTGCAAACATGCCTCACCTGGTTGATATTACTCTCTTCAGATTTAATGTGCTGGATAAGCTGCCTGCTGAGTTCCCACAAGGCCTACGTCATCTTTTTCTAGTTGCTGATGTCATAAAACAAGACCCGATGCCGATCCTGGAGAAACTCCCCTGTCTTGTGGTGTTGCATTTGAGTGGGTACGAAGGCCAAACCATGTGCTGCTCTTCCCAAGGGTTCCCTCGGCTGCAAGAGTTACGACTTGATAGTTTTTCAACCGAGGTGTGGGGGATGGAGGAAGGGGCAATGCCAAAGCTCTCCCACCTGACACTTCAGTCATGCGAGAAGATGAGCAAGCTCCCCGTGGGGTTGCTGCATCTTCCGTCCCTCGATCACCTGGAGCTGGCCTATATGCCCCAGATTTCTGAAGATGACAGCACACTAAATGAGCTGCGGCGGAAAGGGTGCGAGGTACATACATTCAACCCTTGTGGCATGTTCACTAACAAGCCCAATCTTTATATATATGCTGCTGCACCGTAGCAAATCAATACTAGTATTATATGTAGATTGGATGAGTTAATGTTCGTTAGTTTCAGGATCAACTTCACTGCTTCCGTGCGTGTAACTAAGTTTTTTTCTTCCCCGTAAAAAGAAAACTAAGTTATTTTTCTTATGACTTTTTTTTATATTTTGCGCAGGTGAAGAAATAGAGAAAACCAGCGCCCTGGAATTCTCCCCTCGAATCCATCCTCGAAGACCATGGCGTGGCGGGGGCAGACGCGGCGGTATGCGCGGCGACCGGCGGCGGCTGCTGAGACGAGGGCGATGCAGCGAGGAGAGGGACAGAGTGGAGTGTCGAGTGCGTACGGGTTCGACCGGACCAGGCTACATGGAGCGACCGAGACGAATGCGAAAGTTACCGAGCGGGCGCGCGGGGTAGGCCACCGTGGCACCTGACAAATGGGCCCGGTCGGTCAGATACGTGGTCAATACGAGTTTATACGGCTGTCAGACCGTTTTGCAGCACTTAGGCTTAGAGTTGGCACTGCATGGCAAAAAAAAAACGACTAATGGTACTGATTCGTCACAACGTGCTGAAGTGTGGTAGTGTCTTGCAATTAACTCCACACACACCATGGAACTCCCTGGATGTGTAGTGATCGGCATATCTCTTGAGATGCTTCTGCTTCGAGCCCAGACACCCGAGCAGAACCACCATCGTTCGGGACTTATCTGAGAAGCCACTGCACGCCCTAGGGTCAAGCAGATGCCAACAGTACAGAACATCCAACAAGGACGAGGAGGAAGGGATCGCCGGCATCCCTGCCTCTTGCTCTAACGAGATCTTGGCAAACTTCCTGTACTGGTAGACCATCTGGATGACCGGCTGGGACATGACAGGCGCCTTGGCCTGATCGATCGAAAGCCTGGAGATCGCGCGGCAGGAACTGCAGACCGGACAGCGCCAGGGCTGAAGCCTCCGGCCTGCTGGCAGGAAGCGACATGACCGCATTATCAACAAAGCTGTGGTGGGACAACTTGTCCGGCAGCTCGATGGAGGAGACTGCAGCAAATGCGGCAACCTCAATGGCGGAGAGACGGCACTCGCGCTGAAGGGGCGTGGAGTGTTGGAACCGCCAGTCCCTCTCGCTCCGCCGTGCTCTCTCTGACGCCGTCGCTCGCGCTCACTAGAGAGAAGAGGAAGAAATTCAGAGAAGTTCAGAGAACACGGTGGACACAGGGGGTTTTCCGGCGCTCGAACGCCTCCTTCCTTTCCTCGAGCACGAACTCGACTTGTCACCCTGTTACAACGGCACCGTGCGGCTTTATACCCCGAACCAGCGCACCGGGCACGCACCCACGCCTCCACACGCACCCTGATCGTGCCCGCGCTCTCCGCGCTCTGACCGCGCCCGCGCCGCGCCCGAACGCGCGCTTCTCGCGGTGAGCCTCGCTGGATCACGCCCGATCAGCCCGCACGGCTCGCCAACAGCCCCACACACACACGCACGCCTACGGTGTACACTTGCACAGCCACCCCGTGCACCACACGCACGCACGCACACACTACTCGCCGCGGACCCGACGCGCCCGACCCGGCCAGCCCGCGCCCATACACGCACTGGTCGTGTCCGGAGCGTCGCCGCGGCTTATTCGCCCAACATTCGCGCCCTAAGCCGCGGCTCAGAGCAGCCCAGCATCCTCGACGTCGTCCACGAGCAGAGCTTGCTCCTCCGTCGGCGCCTTCTTGAGCTGCGGACAATAGCGTTTGAAGTGCCCGCGTTCACCGCACTTGTAGTAGCGGCCGCGCCGGTTCCCGCCGAAGCCCGACGCCTCGCTGCGCGCCCCGTCGTCGTCGTCCTCTCCGCGCGCACCGCCTCGACGCCGCTCGCGCACCCGCCACTGTGCCACGGTGAACATCAGCTGCTCGTCGTCCGCCCGCTCGCCGCCTGCCTGCCCGCGTCGCCGGAGCCGCTCGTCGAACGCCTTCAGGCGCCCCAACGCTTCCTCGAACGCCATCGTCGACACGTCGCAAAACTGCTCGATCCCGGCCACCGCCGCGTACAGGCGGTCCGGCACGGAGTCGAGAAGCTTCTTCACCAGTGCGGTGTCCTCCAGCGTTGCGCCGAGCGCCGCGTAGCGCGCCGCCATCCCGCCGAGCTTGCCGGCGAACTCGTCCAGCGTGTCGCCGCTCGCCATGCGCAGGAGCTCGAATTCCCCGCGCAGAGTGCCAAGCCGCGCCGCCCGCATGCGGTCCGCGCCGACGAACCGCGCCTTCAGAGCAGCCCACACCTTCGCGGCGGTCTTCTTCCCCGCCACCTGCAGCAGCAAATCCTCTGCGAGCGCGCCCAGCAGATACGCCCGCGCCGGCTTGTCCTTCTTCGTGATCACGGCCGCCGCCGCGTCCTCCGGCACCACCACGGCCTCCCACAGCCCCGCCGCATCAAGGTTCGCCTCCACCTTGATCGACCAGGCCGTGTAGTTGTCGCCGGTGAGCAGTGGCACCGACTGCGGCAGCGATCCGGTCGCTCCGCCGGCGTACGGGACGATGGACATCGCCAGCGCGCCCTGACCAGAACGTGGCTCTGATGCCAACTGTTGGAACCGCCAGTCCCTCGCCTCGCACCGCCGTGCTCTCTCTGACGCCATCGCTCGCACTCACCAGAGAGAAGAGGAAGAAATTCAGAGAAGTTCAGAGAACACGGTGGACACAGGGGTTTTTCCGGCGCTCGAACGCCTCCTTCCTTTCCTCGAGCACGAACTCGACTTGTCACCCTGTTACAACGGCACCGTGCGGCTTTATACCCCGAGCCAGCGCACCGGGCACGCACCCACGCCTCCACTCGCACCCTGATCGTGCCCGCGCTTTCCGCGCTCTGACCGCACCCGCGCCGCGCCCGAACGCGCGCTTCTCGCGGTGAGCCTCGCTGGATCACGCCCGATCAGCCCGCACGGCTCGCCAACAGCCCCACACACACACACGCACGCCTACGGTGTACACTTGCACAGCCACCCCGTGCACCACACGCACGCACGCACACACTACTCGCCGCGGACCCGACGCGCCCGACCCGGCAAGCCCGCGCCCATACACGCACTGGTCGTGTCCGGAGCGTCGCCGCGGCTTATTCGCCCAACACGGAGAAGGTAGCCATCTTGACACTCAAGACTCAACAACCAGATTCAGCCAATGAGGAGGAGCTGATGTCTGGTATTTATTTATCAGAACTGCTATACGTACGATGAATTCGTACAATTTTGCGTACGACAGTCCTCAGCAGCTGTTCGATCAACTTGATGGACGAGCAAGTCGTACAAACTATTCATCATACGCACAGCAATTTCGTTTATTTATCCTTCCCTGCCCTGAGAAATAGTAGGAGGAAGAAAGCAACAAACAGCGCTGGGTATTTACACTAGATCACTAGCAGTAGGAAAATAGTAGCAATCTGCTGTGCTCGCTGCTATCTCCTGTCACTCATTTTCCTTTTCTTATAACTTTGGACAGTCTCTTCATAGCACCTGCATCATAGACAAACACACCATAACTGCATCGTAATGAACCTCGAGAAGAGCAAGAGGGTTTCGACGAAAAACATAGAGCAGGTTTCACCATACGATGGTACCGTGTATAATCAATCAGTAAGACAATTTAACTGAACTTCTTCAGCCAAACTGATCAAATACGTACTTAAATGGCTCGGAGTTGGCTGCGAGCCACCGAGGCTCCTCGGTGCTGGCGCTGCTCTCTGCGGCAGCCGCAGGTGGGGTTTCGCCGGCGGCGGGCGCCGGGTGTGGCGTCTCCATGAGAAAGAGGAGAGAGCGGAGGGGGGAGAGAAGGGATTTGTCGTGTTTGTGGGCTTCATTCTCACAAGACCACGAGGTATATATGCACGCACTTGAATGCTATTTATCCACTAAAAAAATGCTATTTATCCCAAGAGCAACTATTTGAGGAGTGCTCGTTTGGGGGCCTCGCAAACGGTCACTTGGGGTGGGCTGCGAGCACGTCACTTGGCGTGATCTCCGCCGTCGCCACGTGTCGCGCTCTGGGTGCTTCCTTGACTTTTTTTTAATTTTTCTGCTCGCATTTTCAGTCTTTTAGATAGGTTTTTTCCTTTTATTTTGCCCTTTCGGTTTTTCCACCAGCCTTTCTTAGCTTTTCACGCGAAAAACACATTTTTTTTCTCTTCCGCGAGAGGCACGGTTTTGCTTTCGCGAGAGGTACAGATTTGCTTCCGCAAGATGCACGGCCGTGCCTCTCGGAAATGAGAAAAAGAACGCGTTTTCTCTTCTTTTTTCCTTCCGTGAGAAGCACTGTTTTGCTTCCGCGAGAGGCACAGATTTGCTTCCGCGAGAGGCATGGTTGTACCTCTCGGAAACAAAAAAAACGTGTTTTCTTTTTTTTGCGAGTGGCACAGATTAGCTTCCGCGAGAGGCACGGCCGTGCCTCCCAGAAATGAAAAGAATAATTTTTTTCCTTACGTGAGAAGCACGGTTTTTCTTCTGTGAGAGGCACAGATTTGCTTCCGCGAGAGGCACGGTCGTTCCTCTCGGAAACGGCTTTCGTAAAGTGAAAAAAAGTGCTCACGATGTGGTTTTTTTGTCCGGTTTTTTTGTCAAAAAAGTTCGTCAAAACCTAGCAACATAGGATTTAGTTTTGAAGATCTCGACGCGAGGAATCCAACGGTGAAAATGGTTAGAGAATTGGATGCACTGTTTAAGAGAGAAAACATGTTGAATGAACAGATCTAAGAAAAAAGGGAAAACTCCCCGGTTGCGACAAGTCACGCATATGCAACACGCCACTTGTCGCAACCTGGGAAGCTGGAAGTGATCTTTCAATGGAGTATTTCTTAATTAGTGATTTTAGTTTTTTTAGAAGAAATTAGAGATTTCAGTTTATCCCTTATTGTGAGCAATAAGATTCGCGTGACTGTCGCTACGAGCGTTAAGCTGGGACGGCCCAGAAAGAGCGTGTTCGCTTGAGTTGGACGGGTTCATGAATGGTTTCTCAGCCAGTTTGGGGATAGTTTTTA